GTGGGATGGGAAGTCAGTTGCTGGAGGGCTTTAACCAGCAAATGGGTGGAACCCCATCTGGTCTACTTAGCACAGATTATTTCAGCAGCTGTGAGGAAAATGAACTGTAGAGGGCGCTAGAGTGAAACCACACAAACCAGAGAGTAGGCACCTGTAGGTGTCCACGCAGGGAATAATGGTGGTTAGGAGCTCAGTTAGTAACCACGGAGTAGAAATGGTGGAACCGAGCATGTACTTCTGAGACAGAACCAAGAGGGCTTACTGACTGAGTAGGTAAGGAGGGTGATAGAGGGGATTCATGGACCAATCAGCAAAAATGAATTGTGGATAGAATCAAGACTCACACTACATAATATCACAGATGGTACTCAAGATCCGAACAACTTTAATGTGCTCTGGGGTTCTCGGCTAATTACAGGATGGCCATAGATGAAGTCTTTTGCTATAGAACACCATCCCTTTTTAGTGAGACCTTTATTCAGGTTTGAATACTCTAAGACTTATCTTAGACACTAAAGAGAACTGCAGGAAATTGTGTCTCTTGATGAGACGCATGATTCCTTTCACTGGAGCAGCTGGGGGTGCTGCCAAGTGTAATGTATTTCTGTATTGTCTCCTTTCCCTCATCCCCAAATTCTGGGAGGGCAGCATCTCCATTCGCCATTGTACCAGGAGTGCCTGGCAGAGTAAACGTGCAATCACCTTTGCTGAATGACTGTGGAATAAAATGGCAGAGAAAAATTACAGGGCTTAGAGGTAGCTTAAGTCTCCCTTAGAAGCCATATTTTAAGAGAAACAGCAATATCCAGGCCAACACAGAAGAGAAAGAATAAAGTTCTGGAGAGGGTTGAGGTTGAGTAATCAGTAAGAGTCCGAGGATGGAGCCCATAAATGAGAAACAGTGATTTTGCAAGAGTTAGCACAAAGGGCCATGCGATAGCCATCGTTGGGATTTTGTTGCTAAACTTGATGATCTCATCACAGGATCATCAAATGCCTGAGCTGGAAGAGATCTCAGACAACTTTTGGATTAAGTTACTTATTTCACAGATGAAGAAAATAAGGTGAAATGGCTTTGGACTAGAATCCAGTTTGCTGGACTCCACATGCCAAATTCTTTTTTATATTGCACTGATTCGCAGTTAAACTTCCTTTTCCACATGTGGGCTCAAGGAGGAGTTTTCAGAAGCAACCTAGAGAGAGTCTTCTAATGTATAAAATCTATTCCCAAGTACAATTCTCATCTTATGATGCAGTTCCATAAAAAAAAAAAAAAAAAAAAAGATCTCTCTTGATAAATATTTCCTCTTATTTAGTGAAAATGAGGCAGCCCATCATGGTTCCCTTTTTGAAATGGCTGCTGAGAAGCTTAGAGTTAACTTTTAACACTTAATCCTACTAACAAAAGTACTGTTTATTTTTTGACAACAGTATTTACCCCCTTCTTTATGACTTTTCATTTTTTATATCATTTCAGTGGACTTATTGTATATGTGTCTTTTACTACGTGTCGTCTCAAATTCTTTTTAGAAGTCAGCCAGCTATAAATCACCAATAAACCAAAATAGAAGGAAGATTTCATTTCTCTCGTGCACTGGGACTGCTGCTTCCAGTATGGTCTTCGTTTTCAAATCCTCCCCACCCTTGGCAGAAAAGCTCAGACCTTACTTACCTTCGGGCTTTATATTTATAGAGAAGGAGGCCACCGCAGGACAGATTGCATACAAATGACTAGTTATAAAATTGTAGGGTCTGCCTACTAACGAGGCAAGTCCTTGGAAACTTCTGTGAAATGAAAACAAGATGTGGAAGGAGAATGCTATGTTTCCTGCATTGACGTGGCAGAACTTCACTTACAGCAGCCCCCTAGGGGAGGCGAGGCAGCACAGGCTGTGGATGGTAAGCAGGTGGTGGACTGTGTCGCATCCAACTCCAGGCTCTCAGCTAACTACAACCGCAAGTCTGACCCTCCCCAGGCCAGAGAAATGAGATCACATAGCCTTCATCTCTTCTGGATTCTAGCCATGTCGAGAGATTAAAGCACTCGTTTTCTGAAAACACGAGGCTTTCTCTTCCTTCCCTAAATAAAATTCCTCCTAAACCACAAAAATTTAACCCAAGCAGAATTAGGAAAGCAATAAAGGAGCCCTAGGAGAGATCTTTCCTCCTGCTCCCTCACAACTTCAGAATCTTCTGCTGCCATTTCTGTTGAGGTAGCAAGAGAAAGATAAATAAGTCCCAGAAAATGTCAGCTGTTTATGCATTTGAGTCTGAGACTTCCTGTGGCTTTTGTTTTTTTTTATTCCTTCCCCAGTTTTAAAACATTGTTCTTTATTCCTATGGTGTTGGCCATGATTTCCATGATAATCTAAGAGATACATTCAAAAGAAAAATGGCTTCAAGTGTACGGTTGCTCCTAGAAATAGTCCTTCCCTAAAACATCCATTTGGATTCTGTTCATGATCTCCTCCTAGTCAGAGCCACTTTGTTCAGATAGAGACAAAAAGATGCTGCGCCACTGTTCTCAACACCTTGAAGAATGAGACAGTTCCAAAAATCTATAGTGTTTCTTTAAAAAACATCTCAGTAAAATTACGAATTGCAGGCAAGTCTATGGCGTGACATCAGCTTAACAGGTAAGTGCTCAACCAGAGTCCACACTGCCTGAATCTTTATCCTTCTCTACCGGGTTACCTGTGAACCTTGGACGAATTGGTAACCCTTGTGCAATACTTTCCTCATCTGAAAAGTGGGGATCACATTGGTGCTTATTTGCAAAGCAGGTTCTCAAACTTTGTTATGCATGAGAAACAATGGGAGGGACTTGCTATAACACAGGTTGCTGATGCTACCCCCAAAGCTTCTGATTCTGTAGGGCTGGGGTGGGGCCCAGGAATCTGCATTTCTAACAAGTTCCCAGATGATGCCTGTGCCACTGCTCTGAAGTCTACACTTTGAGAACGACTATCAAAGGGTTATGGTGTGGGCCATGCGCTGTGGCTTACACCTGTAATCCTAGCACTTTGGGAGGCTGAGGCAGGTGGATCATTTGGGCTCAGGAGTTGCTGGCTAATATGGTGAAACCCTGTCTCTTTTATTAAAAATTAGCTAGGCATGGTGGCACACACCTGTAATCCCAGCTACTTGGCAGGCTGAGACATGAGAATCACTTGAACCCAGGAGGCTTGAGCCTGGGAGACAGAGGTTGCAGTGAGCCAAGATCGAGCCACTGTACTCCAGCCTGGGTGACAGAGCGAGAATCCGTCTCAAAAAAAGAAAAATCGGGGTTGGGGGAGGTTATGGTGTGGATTATATAGTTGTATATGTAAGTGTTAACTGTGACTATTTTTTTTTTTTTTTTTTTTTTTTTTTTTTTTTGAGGAGACGGAGTTTCGCTCTTGTTACCCAGGCTGGAGTGCAATGGCGCGATCTCGGCTCACTGCAACCTCCGCCTCCTTGGTTCAGGCAATTCTCCTGCCTCAGCCTCCTGAGTAGCTGGGATTACAGGCACGCACCACCATGCCCAGCTAATTTTTTTTTGTATTTTTAGTAGAGACGGGGTTTCACCATGTTGACCAGGATGGTCTCGATCTCTAGACCTCGTGATCCACACGCCTCGGCCTCCCAAAGTGCTGGGATTATAGGCTTGAGCCACCGCGCCTGGCCAACTGTGACTATTTTTATGTACTGCGGTTAGCACTGTCCCTGGCAATAGGTTAGCTACATTAAGGGGTGACAGTCATTATATTATTATCTTATCAGTGGTCCCATCAAACTTAGAAATTATATTAAACTTGCAGTTAAACCCTAATTAATCTATTATAAGAAATTCCAGTATAAAAGAGGGGAAATCCTATTAATTTCCTAACAGAGATATCCTTAAAGATTGTATACATCCAGAAACAGCTGTAAAGTATTATAAGTACTTTAAAGTGACAGATTATTGGGAGCTTCCCCCCCCCCAAAAACTTGTCAGTACCCATCTGTACTGAGGCATAAGGCAAACAAAGCTGACACAGCTCCTTCTTGAGGTTTCATGTCTTTTCTCTTGATTACAGTAATAGTGCCAAAGAGATTTAGTCATTATGGTCAAAAAGGAATTTTTCAACTTCTTTCAGGTTGAAATTAAAGAGCCCAGCAAATGAGGACGTTGCAATGGCAGTTAGAAACAACAGTTTTGAAAAGGGCAGATGAAACAGACCCGCTACAAGACAAGGGGATGGTGGAAAACCCTCCACAACAAAGGAAATGAACGCAAATCCCTAACCTGCGGGCGTTCCAGCAACCCAAAAGCCAAAGAGAAAGAGCTCGGATGAAAAGCCTCCACGCGTTAAGCTTTGTGTAGGGAAACAGAGTATCAAACAGAAGGTCGAAGGTTAAGATGTTTTCCTTGTAAGACCCTTTGACCATACTTGAACCTGAAACATAATGAAGATCAGGAAACCCCCAATCCGTCTTTTCTGTACCACTCATCAGTCCTTTCAAGGAGAAAACTTCTTTTTAATAAACGTAGGTCAAGTTTATTAAAACTCTTCTGTTCTAAGCACTGGGGTACTCGCGGTTGAATGAGAGGCAGCCAGTCCTTGGTAAACATCTAACTTTTCCAACTCAATCAGATCTACGGTTTCGGTAAAATTCTCCAGTGAAACATGAGAATTAGATAAGCATTCTTGCATCGTGATGGCTTTTGAAAAATTAAACAAAGGATGCATGTTTGCAAGAGTGCAAAAATACGCCTTGCCTTGACAGTTAAAAAATGTAACGTACAAAACCACTTTCCTTGACACTTCAAAATGTACGTGATTATCAACACTGAGCTGTTAGGAGGAGTCAACCAAGGTGGGTCTTCATTTCAATCGGGCCAAGAAACAGAAGTGCGCAGCCCGCGGGTGAAACTTGGAAGTCTGTCTCTCCGGCCCAAAGCCTCCCTTGGACTTGGCACGGGTGTATGGAGCGAGACTCGGGTCCCCAGATGGGATTCGGGGGTTGCCACGACTCACCTCGCCAACTTCTCCAGTCTCACAGCGCCCCTGCGGTCCGCTCGGGGGCGCGGACGGGGGGGACGACGCCTCCGAGCTCCCGGGCCGGCTCTGGGGAGGGCGCCTGGCCCCGGCCAACGTGCGGGGACCGGCGCGGGGTGGCGCTGCGGGGCGGACGCCGGGCGCGCAGGCGGCGCAGGGGTCTCAGCGCGGCCGGCGCGCAGGGACAGCAGCGCCAGCAGCAGCGCGGCCAGCGCGAGCAGGAGCAGCGCCGCCGCCTTGCTGCGGAGCTTCATGGTGCGGCACGGCGGCGGCGGCGGCCCCCGGGCGGCTCGGCCCCTCTGCGCATCGCGGCGGCGGCAGGACCAGTGCAGCAGCGCGCGGCGGTGGCCTCTTCCGTCTGCCCGCCGGGTACTGGGGTCGTGGCGGCCCTTGGGCGCCAGGCGGCAGCGGTGGCGGCGAAGGAGGAGCAGAAGGGGAAGGGGAGGCGGTGCGAGCGGGGCTCCAGGAGGAGCAGCCTGCACCTACCGTACTGTGTGGAGTAGCTGCCCCTCCGCCCACCCGCCCGCCAAGCGCTTGGGCTTCTGGTAGTGCAGACTCAAAACCACTTCATTCATTCATTCATTCGTTCGTTCGTTTACCTCCCCATTCACCCACCCACCCATGCCATCCACTCGTCCCTCTGATTCTCTCATGCCATTATTAACTTATTTGTTCATTTATTCCATATGTTTCCCACAATTTATTTTATTCATCTATCCACACATTCGTGCACTTATCCACACATCTTCTCAGGCAGGAACATGTCTGTCCTGTTTGCACAGTGCAGAGGTCTGCACGTGGTGGTGCCAATAAATACCTGTTGAATAAAATCTTGCTGCCTCTGTCTTGCCACGTCCCTTCTTTCTGGAGGAGGATATACTCAACAAGGATACAAGCAGTAAGGCAAGTAAAATTAGTAGTTACGGTTTCAGCCTCAAATACCAAAGTAGAACTTGGGACAGCTAGACTGGACCGAACAGATCCATGTAGCCTGAAGAAATTAGAGAATGAATTTCAAAGTCTGAATTTGAAATCTGACACTGTCACTTAACTGGCTTGGTGATCCTGAGGAAGCTGCACAACTTTCTTAAGCCTTAACTTCCTTACATGCAAAATGAGTATAACAATACTGTTCACCACAGAGGCGTTTTTTGGGCATTAAATTCAATAATGCCTTCAAAGATACTAGCACAGTGCCTGGCTCAAAGTAGGTGCTTAATAAAAGTTCTGTAGTGAGTAGTCCAATAAAACATAGCTTATCATATATACATTAACACACGTTTTATTTTCTTTCCGGCACAGATTTGAGATAGAGTAGTAACTTCATGACACAATGTAAGAATGGCTTCTTTGGAAACTTTAGGAGCTAAGAGCTACAATAGCCAGATGAAGGCCATAATTTCCAGACTATTCTTCCAGGGCATCCCCACTCACAAATCTAAAACATTAGGACATATCCTCTATGACTCACGGTGAATTGACAGCCAGAACTCCATTAACCATTAACTCTCTTTTCAGCACACCATAGAACAAAGGACACTAGTTATAACAACATCATCCCTGAGTTTCTTTTCTTTTTCTTTCTTTCTTTTTTTTTTTTTGATTGCTCTATCACCCAGGCTGGAGTGTAATGGCACCATGTTGGCTCACTGCAACCTTTGGCACCCCAGTTCAAGCCATTTTCTTGCCTCAGCCTCCCAAGTAGCTGGGATTATAGGTGCACACCACCACACCCAGTTAATTTTTGTAGAGATGGGGTTTCACCATGTTGGTCAGGCTGGTCGCGAACTCCTGACATCAAGTGATCTGCCCACCTTGGCTTCCCAAAGTGCTGGGATTACAGGCGTGAGCCACTGCACCCAGCCTGTCCCTGAGTTTCTGCAAGATTCCATGTTGCTAATTTATAAATCATCTAAAATTCAGTTATATTCTGAATTATTCTCATATTAGCATTTGATTTCAGTTCCTTGAGAACCTATTTTATTTAAAGTTCTAGGGATAAGAATATTTAGTAATTTAGAAGCTCTTGCCAAGCAGACATCTAGGAAATGGCAGGGTGCAGGTTCAGTGTGGGGGACATGTTGTAGGTGAGCAAGCACAAAGAATCCATTAATTTTCAAAGATGATGAGGGGAGGGTGCCATCCTATAGGAAGTATCTGGAATTCTGAGAAGGCTGATAGGTTCTACTAGCATATGCAAAACATCCTGCGATGCTCAGGACATGGCAACAACAAAAGCTATCCTGGGTCAACATGGGACCCTGTTGAGAAACACTAGGCCAGACTGAGGCCTGATGTTTAGACCTTTCAGGTTTTGAAATGGCCACCACTATGTCGATACATGGCGCAGAGAAGCAGGCATTCCCAATTCTGTCTTGCCCCCTCCCTTGTACCTCTAGGAGGATGGATGCAACAAAGATAAACTAAGGCAAAGTGAGTCAAAGTAACACTTGATTAGTAGCCAGGGTTTTAGCCTCAAACACCAAAGAATAATTTGGGACAGCTAGACTGGAGCAAAGAAAGGACTCAGTTTTCTTGAACCTCATTGAAGAAAAAAAAAAAGCCTGATTTACCTCCTTCTACTGAGTCCTAACCCAACTTTTGTTTTGATTGCTCTGATTGGTGGAAAACTACATTCCATCCTCTAATTTTTTGTTTTTCTTTTTTCTTTTTGGTTTTTTTTTGGATGTGGGCAAATCTCAATGTAATTGCAAAAGAGTTCATTTACAGCACATTCAATAATGAACCAGCAGGAAAGTTGCTGACTTCGGAACATATGAATACATAAAAATCCATTGTGATTCACGTAGTCAAGATAATAAGCACATACAAAGAAAGCAATCTTCATTTTTATGAAAACTTGTATGTTTTAAAAAGTCACTAGGCATACTTGGAAGTTCAAAGCAATAGAATGTACCTTGCAGGCAAAGGAAGATGAAAACCCTTTTCCACGGTTTTAGGCAAATGTATATCAAATATATTCCAATTCCACTTGATAAAGTCAGTTGGATGACCACCTCCACCCAGGCTAGGGCAGAAAATTAGTAAAAGCGGGCCCTGGGTCGGGATATGAATTTAGAAGAGGAGTACCAGATCCCATGCAGCGCCAAACACACCTGTCCCATCCTCTAAAACAGACGAGGCATATCAGCCCATGTTCCTCGACACAGGATGCACGAGAACAGTCAACAGATGGTTACTGCTCCCACGGCCTAGTGCTTTCTAATGGTCTTAACTCAGGCCATGGAGAAAATCCTTTACTGCCAAACATAAATTGTCACTGAAGTTAGTCATAAAGGCTGTTACGGAGGAAATTCTTGTAACAGATACATAAGGACTTCTATTCACCTAATTAGAACAATGATTACACAACTGACATTCTTGTTTTCATAAGGTTTTATTCTCTACACTGGAATGGCTTAAGATAAAGTCGTCTATTTTGGGTTTTACTTTACACTTTCAAAAGAGAAGGAACAGAGAGAAAAAAATGTGAAATGTGACTAACTGCCCAACTTTCGGGTCCAGCAGGTACAAAAGCGGACTTCTCTGACTCTAGGTTCATTAGATTTGGGGGAAGTTTCAGTGCCTAGGGGAGGTTAGTGAAGCTCGCTACACCCCTAATCCTACAAAAAGAATTCCACAGCTCATCTATCACAGTGTTCTAGCAAAGCATATGTTGGAAACCATAGGTTTTAGCCTAACATCTAAATTTTTAAAAGTAGCATTTCAGCAACAAACAAGTTCAGAGATCTTGTTGCAAAAGTGAAGTTAACAAAACTATTGCTCAGGTATCTGAAAAGTCCAGCTGCTGCCCTCAAGTCCGCCCACTTGAAGGCTTACACAGACATGTAAGGTGGCAGTGGCTCCTTGGCAGCACCATTCACAGTGGCATCATCATATGGGGGCAATATCATTGAGGGTAACATAAACCGGGACATCTGGGGAGTTCCTGCCATTGATGTATCCATAGCAGTTCCAAACACAGCTCATCAAGTAACCCTTAAAAGTGAAGATAATGAGGCTGGGCTCATGCCTGCAATCCTAGCACATTTGAAGGCCGAGGCAGGTGGATCACGAGATCAGGAGATCAAGACCATCCTGGACAACATGGTGAAACCCCATCTCTACTAAAACACAAAAAATTAGCCAGGCATGGTGGTGTGCACCTGTAGCCCCAGCTACTCAGGAAGCTGAAGCAGGAGAATTGCTTGAATCTGGGAGGCAGAGGTGGCAGTAAGCTGAGATTGAGCCACTGCACTCCAGCCTGGTGACAGAGCAAGACTCCATCTCAAAAAAAAAAAAAAAAAAAAAGAAAAAAAAAAGTCAAGATGATGCTCATAAACAGAAGAATAATAGGAACTAAACAGGTAGGATTCACTGACATGACATCATCTCTGTAGGGAAAATTATGTATTCCTGCATGGAGTTTGGATAAACAAGCACAGTGATTGCAACCAAGGTGTTCAGGGCAAAATCAAAGATCTGGTAACAGAAGAATGGGATGATCCAGGCTATATGCTGCTTGTATGCTCCATAAGTAGCATAGCACATGTCAGGATCATGAGAAATCTCAATGGCTATGCACATGTAGTTCCAGATGGCTGGGGAGGGCTCAGAATCATGGCAGAGGGTAAAAGGCACTTCTTACATGGTAGTAACAAGAGAGAATGAGCTACACCCGCTAATCGTACAGAAAAGGCCTGCAGATTCTCTTACCCATGGCTTAACCAATGTCTCACTTAGATGTCTGATAGAAAAAAATGCTTATTTATAATGCTTTATAAATTACCTAAAATTCAATTATATTCCAAATCATTGTCATATTGGAATTTTATTTTAATTCCTTGAGAATCCACTGTATTTAAAGTTCTGGATGTGGGAATATTTAATAATTTGACAGCTCCGAAATCTATTTTTTCTCTTAGAATCTGGTAACAGAAGAATGGGATGATCCAGGCTATATGCTGCTTGTATGCTCCATAAGTAGCATAGCACACATCAGGATCATGAGAAATCTCAATGGCTATGCACATGTAGTTCCAGATGGCTGGGGAGGGCTCAGAATCATGGCAGAGGGTGAAAGGCACTTCTTACATGGTAGTAACAAGAGAGGGCATCAAGCTTCTTCCACTCATGGTGAAAGGTTAAGGTAAGTCAGCCATGTGCAGAGATCACATGGCCAGAGAGGAAGCAAGAGAGCAAAAGGGAGGCACCAGGCAGAAAAAGAAATGGAACAGAATATCCAAGAAATGTG